CCCCAAAACCCCAAAACCCCAAAACCCCAAAACCCCAAAACCCCAAAACCCCTCATTCCACAAATTTGGTTGAAATCATAAATTTGCACCTGCTCAAGCAAAGATTTTGTATGAAATTAATAAAGAATATTTAGATATTTAGTATGGAAAAGAAGTACACAGACCAGATATTCCAAGAGAACTTGCAGCTCAAGAAGGTCCTTAATGTGACCATCATCCCTGCTGATGAAGACCTACTAATCAAGCTTTACTCTGGAGAACCCATGTATATGAGCGACCTCAATTCTTTGTTGGATAAATAACCAAAAATCTCTGATGGAGAATCAGTCAGTTTTTGACACCCTTATATCTAACCTATTGGGTGAAGAGAACTGCCAAGGATTAGTACTACTTTTGAGAGCTCTAGGCAGTATTAATGAAGAGAAGAACAAAACCATTAACAATAAAGATTCTATGCAGAAGTTCTTCATGTTTTTCCAAGAAATTGTTATAAATTATTTTGTCCTCGTACTGATGAATCCTGATTTATTCCCTTCCATGATGCCTCAGAGTCCTGATGACGAGGATGGCCTGGACCTTTCTGCCTGGAGATTCTCCCAAATGCTGGAGAACGGGTTCCCGAATGATTACATTACGGAGATAAACAATAAAATACTTGAAGACAACCCTGATGAGTTTGAAGAGTTTTGGGAAAAGACATTGGTCTTGCTGTTAAAGAAAGCAAACAAATCAAGTCCTTTATCAACGGCCAAATCATTAGCAGATACCTTTAGCAATCTAGCAAGCCATGAACAAATTTTAAAGCTGATCTTAGACATGAAGCATTATCCTTGGATTCCTGGGCCAAGTGGAATCAACTTAAAGGGAGGATTTGGATCATGAACAGGTGATAATCTAGAATCTGTTTCTCCACTCGGAATTTTATTTGGACCATCGTATTTCCCAAAAAGCACTAACCTTAGAGGAGACAAGAAATGGGATGAAATGATTACGAAGATTATGGATGACCTTCACTCAGCTAAGAGTTCAGCAGTATTTGATAAAACAGCAAAGAAGTATCAAGAGATTAACCATAAATTAGCATCTTCATTATGAGGAAATATTAAGCAGCTCCTAAAATCCAAAGTGAAAGGAGCTAAAGAAGACACTCTCAGATGGCTTGCAGCAGCCATTACGTCCAATACTGACCGTACAAAGCTGGGACACTCTCTAGTATCTGGATCTATGAGGCAGATTAGAAATATTTCAAGTGATGCAATGTCGTACAATCTTGTCCTGGTTCTTTTCGAACTATGCAGACCTTTCCTCAAAGAAGGAGACAAATAAACTTGATAAAATAGACAAAACTTACCTTGCTAGTGACCTCCGTATTGGATTGAATGGGGAGACTCCCATTTGTGCCAAGGAGGTCGAGGAAAGCAAGGATGAAGTGATGGAAGAATCAGCATTCGATGATGATGATGAAGAAAAGATATCCACTTCCAATAAAGGCAACCTCATCTTCCCTAAAGAATATGGGACGATCAGTGAGTTCTACTTCATGTTAGGAGTAGGCATCCATTATTTGTTCTACCCCATCCTGAAAAGAGGGGAGGATATTGACAAAATCTTCAGGAAGCTTCTCAAAGAAAAAGAAAGGATGAACGAGTCTCATCCTGAGTACCATCAGATGAAGCTGGAATTTGAGAACATGAAGAAGTTTAGGATGCTTTATGAACTAACAATCTTTGACAGAGACCTAATCAAGAGCATTAACAACTTCTTTAAAGTCCAATTTGGCCTGATCAAGAAGTGGGGGATGGCTAACCTTAAGGAAGGAAAGTTTATAGAAGATCCTCCAGCCCAAATTTTAAGACATTTGCCTGAGTATTTCCTGACAGATATGGTCGATTTTTGGCAGTATTTGTTTAGGAATAGGAACGATTCTTTGACATATTTCCTTCCAGAAGACGCAATTGCTATCTTTGAGATGGCAATTTTAGTTATCAACTCTCCTGTAGCAATCACTAATCCTTATATTGGTGCTAAGTTTATTGAGGTGCTCTCAATGATTGTATTCTTTGAGAAAGATGTCAATTGGCTAGCCCAATTTTCAGAATCATCCTTTATTGTAGAGCATTTAATGAGAGCATTGATAAGATTCTATGTTGATATAGAATTCTCAGGAAACTCAGGAAGCATGTACTACGAAAAGTTCCATTACAGGTTAGACTGTAGTTCGGTCTTTAAGAGATTCTGGAAGAATAAAATCTTCAAAGACAAATTTTTAGCTGAAATTGGCACTGAGAAAATGGAAAAATTCCTGAATTCTTTGCTTAACGATACTAATCATTGCCTTGAGGAAGGAATATCAAAGCTTACTGAGATAAAGAAGTTTGAAATGAGAGTTGCCAGTGGAGATCTTCCTAACAAGGAAGATACAGAAGCTCATTCAAAGAATGAAAATATTTGAAAAGCAAATATTCAACTCTCTAATGAGTGTATTCTCATGGTAAAGAATATTTCCTCATGGGCTAAGGAATCATTTGATAACGAAGTCTTTGCTTCTAGGATGTCTTCTTCTCTAAACTTCATCCTTAACAAGATTACTGGGCCAAATTGCATGGAACTTAAAGTGAAGAAACCAAAGAAATACTCTTTTAGTCCGATTGAGCTTCTCGCCGATCTTGTGACTATTTATACCAACTTGGGATCAATTGAAATGTTCCTGAAATCAGTTGCATTTGACCCTCTTTTTGAAATAAAGAACTTTAATAAAGCCTACAGGGTTTTAAAGAAGCAGAGAAAGGTAGAAGAGTATTCAAAACTAGGTATGCTCATCCAAGAAGTAACAAAAATTGCAGATACAGAAGAGATAGATGAATTAGAGCAATGGATGGATGAAGCTCCTGAAGATTTCCTCTGCCCTATCGCTTATTGATTTATGACAGATCCTGTGAAACTTCCTACTAGTGGAAACACAGTTGATAGAACAACTATTAAAAGAATCCTTCTGAATGATGAGCATGATCCATTTAATAGAGCTCCATTGTCATTCGATCAGGTTGAAGATGATGTCGAAATGAAGAAGAGAATACAGAGGTGGATCGAACAGAAAAGGAATGGAGAGGTCACAGATGAAGAAAAAAGACAGCAGGAAGAGGAGAAACAGCAGGAAGAGGAGAAACAGCAGGAAGAGGAGAAACAGGAGGAGGAACAAGATATGGAAGTTCAGAAAGAAGAATCACATATGAGTGTTGACCCCCCAGCTCCAATTGCTCCTCAACCTCCAGTCTCAGCTCAGACTCATGATTCATTGATGGATAGAGATCCAGAGAGTCTTACAGAAGAAGAGCAGATTCAGTTAGCAATGCAGATGTCAATGAATCAGTTCCAATAGTTTATTCTAATCCTTCATTCAGCATCAAATAACTCTGCTGGGGTTTTGGGGTTTTGGGGTTTTGGGGTTTTGGGG